CACACACAAATATGTGAATACAGTTTACATTCTAAAAGAAAAAAAAATCAACAATTGAGTTGTATTTAAAATATATACAATTTTAGATACGAGAAAATTTTAAAAAAAATAATGTTCCAAGTTGTTTTTCTTTTTGATAGAGCAACACAATTGCCACNTATTTTAGCGTTAACTAATGATCAGTTATTCATTTTTTATATTGTGTTAAATGTGAATCCATTGAGGCAAAAGTGAAATCTGCTACTGTGTAAGGAAGGAAAACTTAGATTAGAGTTTGTTCACCAAGTGTTCTATGAATTGTCTATGTAAAAGTTGTTCTTTTTTGGACATTTGACTTGCTGCCCATGGTGAAGCTGATTTTGTTTTGTTGGGAGACATTGAGTTGCTGCCTCTTAGAGGATTGAATTGCAAGTTGTACACTTGTTTTGGAACTCATTCAATTCATATATATTTTGGATGCAGTGATGCATAAAACTTGTTTGATAATATTCCTAGTAGAATTGAGAAAAGAGTTGTAAAGTTATCTTATAGAGGATATTTGTCGGGTATAGATTGGATTAATTATGGAATCCATTCAATAATACTCTATGCTCGGATTTGAATTGGATTAATCATAAAACTTGTTCGATAATAATCAATGCTCGGGTTTGAATTGGATTAATCATTGATTTTTAGATGATTTTTCTAGGTGGAATGGATTTGAAATGGGAAAATTTGGGTTGGGTTAGTTCTTGTTTTTGTTAGTGTTCACTATATTGCTTGTCAAGTTTGGAAATTTATAAGTGTATTTATTTTAAGGATAGTTACTAAATTAAATTAAATTTAGATATTAAGAAGGATAGGTACCAAATTAAATTAGATATTCCAACGAAAAAACAATTTCTCCAAGAATTAGAATGTGTATGTGGTATGCACATGCTCTGTAACACTCCGCATTTTATTTTATATATATGCATATAGATATATATTAAATAATTGTTGTAAAAATGGGGATAGGTGTAGCAATGTATGTTTGAATTTGATAGATTGGAAATGAAAAAAGGGATGAAATAGTGAACAGTGCACGTGAACTGTGCACTGACTACAATTTCAAGTCCAATTTAGACCTTGATGCAGTCAATATCTCTTAACACTCAAAACATGAAAGTTGTAGAGTTCTTTCTTAGCTTTCCATAGCATCTTGAATCATCTCAATCGGAACTCGGATGAGAGAGTTATGCACCGAAAACGATGTAATATCGAAGCAGCCCATGAACAGTAAAGGGAAAAAAAATCGGGATTTCCGTGTTTAAAAACACAGATTTCAGCCTTTACTCTCATTTCATTCATTCCACTCTCAACCCACTTCTCTTAGGACTCTAGAGGAAGAGAGAAGGATAAAACACAAGATCAAGAGGAGATCTATACTTTAAAGAAGATCAATCTTCATCTTCTTCACACTAAACCTAGGTTTTTAAGAACATTGAAGTAGGGTTTTCTTCCATCCTTGTCCATTGATGTTAGGGTTATTATACATATAGAATTTGGCTCTTAATAGTATGTATTTGTTATGGGTTCCTTGGTATGTTTACAAACATTCTCATGATTTGAACAAAATGATGGTTGAAAATCCATCAAACTCTAGTTTTTGGGGGAAATATGGATTTTTCTCTATATCTTCACATCATCTTGATTTCGAAAATTCTAGAACTTTGTGTTGGGTAGTAAAATGATTGTATTGATGATCTCATGCTTATTTCCTTTAAACTTGTCTCTCGTTACATGATTTGCGAAATGAGTATATTTTCTTAAATTGTTCTATTATGTATCTTTCTTGTGAAAATTTGGGGAAACATCATGGAATTTGCTTGTATATGAGGTTGAGTATATTGTTGGTATATCACTCTTGTGTATGGTGTTGTGAGGGACTTGGATTACCTTCGAAAACTGCCGTAAAGCGTTAGAAGTTAGTCTATCCCAATGGGGGGGGGGGGTGAGATGGCTGCCTAATGCTCGTAGTGGATCACTGTGGTGACAGTGACCACTATTGTTCACGGATACCGGGGAAAATGGTTAGTATACTAGACACCTTGGGAGGATCTCGTCAAGGCCGTATGAGACGGTGCACGCCCTTCCTAAATTGGTCTGTGATTGTTAGTGGAAATGGGTGAACGAGGTAGAATCGTCGGGTAGATTCATGAGAAGCGACAACCTACTTGAGTGGTACCAAATAGAAATTTTTGTTCATTGTACCAAATATTATTTTTCCAAGAGTTTCGGGTAGTATGGGATGCCGCGATACCTTGTGGAAATGGTGTATGGTGGAGTGGATTATGTTGGAAATTGTTTGTCAATTAAACGTGGTTTTATTCTCGTTCAAGTCCTTATTATTGTACAAACTTGAGATCTCCTTTAAAATGTCCTTACTTTACTTCAAAATTCATTTATATGTATGTGCGAAACGTGACCTACCTGTTTTACTTGATTTCAAAACCTTGAATGGGTTTGGAAGGATCCTCCTACAGAGCCTTGTGCTCACCCCCCTACTTCCCCACCTTTCAGATTTTGCCTTTGACGAGGAGCTGGGAGTCGAGGGGCCGACATATTTGGAGACTCCGATAGAAGGGAGCGTGGATCCCGAGGTGGATGCTTAGAGCGACCCCCCTTTCTTTTGTTATAGACTTGGATAATCTTTTGGGAGAATTGTATAGCCTAGTTTTTATTTTATAAATTTCGCTGTGTATTATAGTACTTTTTTGGGAATGTAAAGGCCATAACTTGGCCTATTCTTTTGGGATAACATGTAAATTGGATGGATTGATTTTATGGTAGTTAAATGGACCCGGTGTGGTCATTACAGTAGAATTGCACAAGTTGTGTTTTGGGTAGAGCTCCCTGAACAGAGGAGACTCTGCCCAAATTTTGTTAAAATATGAATGGTGGATGAATGAAACTTTCATCGTGATGAATTTACTTAATGCTCTCATACGGTGAATGATTTTTAGAATGTAATGTCACCCAAGGGAATTTTTGGGGCGTTACATGCTCAGGAGGACTATCTACATATTTTTGGATCTTTTGTTTTATGTACATTTTGACATATTTGCACACACAAATATGTGAATACAGTTTACATTCTAAAAGAAAAAAAAATCAACAATTGAGTTGTATTTAAAATATATACAATTTTAGATACGAGAAAATTTTAAAAAAAATAATGTTCCAAGTTGTTTTTCTTTTTGATAGAGCAACACAATTGCCACAATACAACAACACAATTGTCTTGTAGTGGCTGTGGGTAATGGTGGTGGGTGGTAGTGGTGGGGTGGTAGTGGTGGGGTGGGGGTGGGGGTAATGGTTGGATAGTGGGAATGGGAGTGAATAATGGTAGTGGTGGTGGGTAGTAATGGCGGTGGTGGGGTGACAATGGTGGCAACGACGGTGGTGGTGGTGATGGTTGTGATGATGCTCCTGAGGGATGGTGGTGAGATGATAGGGGTAGTGGTGGTAGGGATGATGGTTGGACAGTGACAATGGTGGTAAGGTGGTGGTGGGGTGGAAGTGACGGTGGTGGTGGTAATAGTGATGGTGGTAGTGGGGGTGGTGGTGGTCACCTAGTAGAGGTGGTGGTGGTGGTGGTGGTGGTGGTGAGGGTAGTGGGGATGGTGGTGGTCTGGTGGTAGAGGTGATTGTTGTGACAGAAGTGGTTATGGGGTGGCTGTGACGGTGGTAGGAAAGTGACGCTAGTGATGGGGTGGAGGTGACGGTGGTGGTGGTGGGTGTAACAGGGATGATGGTGGTTGGGCGGTGGTGGTGGCAACGGTGGAGATGGTAGGGGTGGTATGGTGACGACAACGATAGTGGTGGTAAGGAACGGGGGGTGGTGGTAGTTGTAGTAATGATACTAGTGGTGAGGTAGTGGGTGGGTGGTGATGGGGTGGCGACATTAGTGGTGGTGGTAATGGTAGTGTTAGTGGTGATAATGATGGGGGTAGTTTGGTAGTGGTGTGGTGGTGGTAATGGTGATGGTGGTGGGGCGATAGAGGTGATGGTGGGATGGTTACAAACACTATTTTATTTTTAAAGTATTTATGAAAAATTATAAATATTAAAAATACTTTCAAAAAGTCATTCTAAACAAACCTTTAGGGGACTATTTTTCCTACTAGATTTGAAATGTTAATATTAATCATTGGATTAACTTTAAAATAAAATTGAAAGAGATCTCAACCACGAATAATAAAAATTATTTTGTTTATTTTTTGAAATTTAAATTATATTGTACTTTATTTTATAAATAATTGCTGAAAGATAAAAAAAATAATTAAAATTAAGGTCATAATAAAATTAATCAACTAAATTTTTTAAATATAAAAAATAATTCATCTTTTTCATGCATCCACACGACTCACATACACTAATGCTCCGTTTGGTATGATGAAAAAATAAAAAGATAGAAAGTTGGAGGGATAAATAAAATATCATGTTTGGTAAGAAAGGAAAATAGGAAGGATGAAAAAGTGAATGGATTAACTTTCCTTTCAACTCACCAAAATCAATCCCTCTAAAATCGGAAGAAAAATGGATAGAAAATTAATTATTTGTATTGAGATGTATCTTATTTGTCTATATATTATGTATACATTAATTTTATATAAAAATACAATGATAAAATATGTATATATATAAAATAAAATATGCAGTTACTTCTGTTAACCGAGTTCGCTCATATGACTAACGTGTCATTTTTTTATTTTATCTGACACTCTTTTGAGGTGGCTGTTTTTGGTTGGTGTTGAGTACCCAATATGCATGCCAGCATGGTACGCTCTAAGCACTGAATAACTGAATATTTTTCTTATTTTTCCGGGTCTTCCACGCTCTAGACTCTAGAGTCTCGTCCGTTGTCTTTGAACGAAGAAACATAAAACCACCAGCCAAACTCCCATCGTATCTCTCACTCATTTCCCACCATTTTCTTCGTTTTTTTCTCTATAAAATCCTTACAAAGCAGCAACAAAATTAATTGAAATTCGTCAATTCACTCCTAAACCTAGAATCTCACACTGTTAAAAGACTTCCCAAAACTTTTTCGTTCCGTTTCTCTGCAATTTCTCAGCAACCAAACACATATAAAACGTTAGATTACAGATGGTGGAACCGGATATTGACAACAAGCGCTGTGGAAACCGATGGAATTGGGCAATTGGTGCTCTCATCGCGATATCCTTCGCAATTGCACTTGCTTCGAGGAATTTTCCGACTATTTCTATGCTCAATCGACATAACAGACCTTGTCAGTGTGCTGAGGTAATGGTATAATCCTATGGTATTTTTTTTTTTTTTTTTTTCTACTGATTGGTTTCCGAGAAAACAGAGGAAACGAAAAGAAAATCAATTCCTTATATCGTAATGCTTTCTATTCGAATGAGACACAGTTGCGTATAGTTATAGAGTTTAATTTTGTTTGATTTCGTGTCTCTATTATTGGCTAGATTTGAATTCTATTTCTTACTTATTCTTGATATTTATATAAAAATTGAACAGAATGTGAAGACTGAGTGATCACTTTGAAATTTAAATCAAATTATGTTTGCTGCGATATTAATTTATTGAATGGGATATAATTTGAGCAATATGTGCAGGACGCACATAGATATAAAGGGACAGTGGAGGATTGTTGTTGTGATTACGAGACTGTAGACCATCTTAATCAGGAAGTTTTGCGTCCATTGCTCGAAGAGCTTGTGAAAACCCCATTTTTCCGATACTTCAAGGTATGCTGCCACTGCCCATTTGCTTTATAATGTTATTTGCGAGAAAATTGTGTTTTTTGTGTGCATTTGTACTAATAAGTAGCTAAGATACATTTATCAAAAAAAAAAAAGTAGCTAAGATACACTTGAGATAAGTTGCAGCAGACAGTGTTCCATGTAATTAAATGGTTTAAGTAGGCATAGATAGCGATCTAGAGCTTGAGAGTTCTTAAGCTGCAATAGGTAACATGGGATTGGAAGAAAACTAATTCAAGAATTTTACTAATTTTGGTCCACTTTGGAATGTAAGACCAAAATATAATGTACCAAATGCAGCATCAACGTCAAGTAACAAAATCTAAATTTTGGGCGATAAACTTCAAGGGTTAACTATAGTTGATAACTGAAAATGGATAGACATTTTTCTATTCTTATGCATGCTTGCAAATCCATTTTACACACAAGGAAATGCAGAGAGCTCAACTGGATTATATGCTACCAAGATTTTAGAACTAAATTTAGCTTGTTAGATGTATTTTATATTGAGTAACAATCAGTGGAAAATAGTGATTCTGTAAATAGAAAGCATGAGGGGTTTTGGAAGAGAGTAGAGGCAGCAAAACTTGACTCCAGCAAACAAATATTGGTGGTCTAGACGTAATTACTGTCCAGTCTTATCTAGGACTTGGTCGCCTGAGGAATCACAAGCCATTAAGTCTTTTAGCAAGGCTTCAGCTACCATTTTTCATAGGTTTTGTCCTTTGCTATTAAACCCGTCATTATGAGTCTTTAATGCATATGACCCAGCCATATCAGGCTACATCTCATTTACTTTCCCTCGTTTGATGCTTATCTGCTCATAATTGCTTCTTTTTTTTTTCATTCTTCATTTTTCTTTTATTTTCGTAGTTCATGTTACTGTCCTCATTTACATGTTTTTAGTAACTTCCCTTTATCTTTCCGACCTTTTAATGAATCTAGTAACCACCCAATATGATAAAGTGAAACTAGCCTTGGGGACACCTTGTAAGAAGTTAAACTTTTACTAGTTACGTATTTACAACCACTCAACGCTCTTTATGAACTATAGTCCTAATCCTGTGGCTATTATCTTCTTCCATTTTTTTTTTTCTCTTGGAGTACCTCCAAGTTGATAAAAATGGCAATTTTTTTTTATTTTAATGTGCAATTTGGAATTAAATCTTCTATACTTCTAGAATGGACATGCAGATGTAAGACCCCTGGATTGAGAGAATTTCTTGAAATTCAAACTCAAAAGCGTCTTATAGATTTGTTCTATCTGCCACATATACTATCATTAACGATCCATTTCCACTAGGAGACTGTTGGAGATTTATGACATGAGACAAGTTCAGTTGACTAATGTTAATAAATTATTGACTATTTTAGGTGAACTATTTTTTTGTATATTTTTCTGGTAAGTCCTTCAAACTCCAAGCATGGAGATGGTTGTGGGTAAACTATAAAATTGGTGAGTTATACAGGAGATGCATATTTCATTTGAGCCAGAATTTTGTGGTAATTTTCCTAAGTCTAATGATCCGGTAGTTTCTTATTCAATCCCCCCCCCCTTCCTCCACACTTTCTCTTCTTTCCTGTTGTCCTTATTCGATATTTTGTTAAATAGTGAACCCGAATCTAACAAACAAGCCTTATTTTACTAGTAAATTTGCTTTCAGCTATGCTGACCTTTGTCTGTTCTTTCTGGCACCTGGTTGGTTTGTCCCTGTGGTAGGTTAAGCTATGGTGTGATTGCCTTTTCTGGCCTGAGGATGGTATGTGTCGTTTGAGGGACTGCAGTGTCTGTGAATGCCCAGAAAAAGAGTTTCCTGAACCATTTAAGAAGCCCTTCAGGAATGGCCTTTCATCGGATGATCTTATTTGTCAAGAGGGAAAGCCGGAGGCTTCTGTTGACCGTACTATTGATAGTAAAGCTTTCAGAGGGTGGATAGTAGTAGACAACCCATGGACATATGATGACGAGACAGACAATGGTGCGTCTTATTACTTTAGCTGCACTCTAGACTTTGTAATTGTTAGTTATATGATTATTTCTTTATCTCTTAGCCAATGCTTTTGAAGTCACTTTGTCTATTATCCTTGAAATTGATGATCATTCCCTAATGGTCAAGACTAAGTCAAATGCTAACTATGCCCTGGGAGTGGGATCTGTCAAAGAATTCCTCTACCCATTGATTCTTTATCTTTTACTGCTATATAATGCGGTTTTGGAGGTCACATTCATTGAGAGTTCAATAAGACAGAGAGTCTAGGTCAACGATATTCCTTGCGTATCGTCTCTTTTCTTTTGACAAATATAGTATTATGGTGACATTGTGCTTCAATTCTATGGTTGTTCAGCAGTTAATGGTTATTATTACTTGCAGCTGAGATGACATATGTAAATCTTCAACTGAATCCTGAACGCTATACTGGCTATACTGGTCCATCTGCCAGAAGAATATGGGATGCTGTTTACACAGAGAACTGTCCCAAATGTGAGTTGTTTTACTTTCCGTTGTTGAGGGAAATTGCTCTTTTTCCTTTACTTCCAAAAGCGTTATGTCTTTATATATTTTTTTTGTTCAATTACATTACACTATATTCATCATTAAATCCATGCCAACATTCCTAATCTCTTTTAGCAGCATAAACTGCTACATTGTGAAATAGGAGATGGGTTTTAACTTTTAACATCTTTGCTTAAAGTGTATATGGGGTTTCTTTTAGTTCCAAATCCATTTGTTTTGCATCCTTTACCCTTGTCTTACGTGGGAATAGTCCGAGTGCTGATGGTGGACATGACATCTTTGTGCCTGATAAAGCTTAGAGCTAGGGTAATCAATGAACAAGTACATTAAGTATAAATTTCATGATGCCCACTTCTGATGCTGCATTTTGTTGTTAGACATGGATGTCATGTTTTAGGCTTTTAAGATTTCGTTCTAGAATAAATTGATAAACCTTTAGCAATAAGTACAGACATAAGCGTCAAAACATTCTCTTGTGCATGTCCAAATGACCTAATTTCTTTCCTCAAAATAACATAAAAAACTATCTGATGGTGTTCTCTATCTTTGTACTCACTCCCCCCCCCCCTTTCCTCCGCTTTTATCCGTGTATTTTCAAAAAGAGGTGGAAAGATGACAATCCCATGCATACGAATTATTGGAGATAGCAAGCTTGAAACAGATTTTAGATCAATCGGTTGGGCTGTGCTGTCTCGTTCTTGAATCATTGTGTATCACAAGATGACGAGGAAATGAAGGTTTTCTTACAAGCATGATCTTAAGAAAAAAATGCTCCATTTGGATATCCTGTGCCAAGGGGATGTGAAATAACCTCTCCTTCCCTCAACTCCACCCCCGTGGTGAGTTTGCTATCTCCTTCTCAAAGTTGATATATCAAACAGATAAAATACATATGTGGGCCTCTAATTGCGTCTCCAATCAGTGGACAGGACATTTTTATCCCACCTGGCTCTTAGATCTGCTTATTTAATGCTGCTTCTAGGGTGTAGGAATATTGTCATCTTAGCCTCAACTTTCACCCCAGTTACTGTAGACTGTAGAGTTGTTAATATTGACCGAGTTTTGTTAGTTAAACTAAAAGTAGTGATTGTTCAAAGTTTTTGGGGAAATGAAATCAAGTGAGGACCGTAGTCCTACCTCAGTGGTCAAAAACCCCACTTAAATTGTGGTGGTCACTGGTTTGAATCCCCCTCCCCCGTATTAACACTGTCCCAAAAAAACAACTGAGTTTTGAGGAGTTTGGTAACGGCAAATGCTACCTGATTTACCATCCTATAATTTCGTTAGGGCTTCAGATTGGAATAAAGGAAAGACCCATCTTGCAATAATTTCCAGCAGGATAGTTTGGCCATCTAAAACCTCTGACAAGGGTAAACTACTATGAATATAGATCATCAGGTAGTGATACTTTTCAGTTGTTGATTTAGGTATACTTAAATCTTTTCTTAGTGTTTTGATAAACTATTCTTGCACCCTAAAAGTTGTTTAAGAGACCATTTAGTTCCCAGTTTCTTAAAAGATATTCTCCATATGTTGTAATTTCAGATTTTCTTTGTAAACTAGGAAAACCCTGATGAACTATCCACCCTTGTTGTGGCAATTCCTTTGTTAATCGTTGACATGTTCTGCAGATGGATCAGAAGAGCTTTGTCAAGAGGAAAGAATATTGTACAAATTGATATCAGGTCTTCACTCCTCCATTTCAATTCACATAGCCGCTGATTATCTACTTGATGAAGCTACAAACCTGGTACTATTTCTAGTCATAACCTTGAACACTTGCACTATTAGTGAAGGGGAATAAGCTTAAGCTAGTTGTTCTTTGATTTGACTTCCGTGGACCTCAACTTTTTTAAAGCTTGGTAACCTCTAGTTTGATCAATGATCAAGAAAACTAGTTATACGACGAGGTAACAACCATTCAACTGGAACCAGAAGTTGAGGATCATTAAACGTGCCAATTCAAACGTAGCCTCCCCCCCCCCCCAAAAAAAAAAAAAAAAAAA